TGTGGTCGCGTAGCTTTTAGCGGTGGGCTTGGGTCAATGTGGGTGCTTGGTGCCGCCGGTTGCTGGTGGTGCTGCGATGCGCGATGCGGATGCGGATGCGTAGCGTTGCGTCCTTTTGGTCTGGCCAATCTCTCGGATCAGATTCCACAGGTTCCCAGTGTGTCTAGACGTCGTGGATCTCCAACAAGCAACCGAAGACGATGGAACTGTGTGATGGGCGAAACCCAGCTCGTTGTCCTTTCCTCCAGATGATCTTTTTGAGCAAGACGTAAAAAGAGAGAGGAAAGAAACAAAAGTAAACGGTCTCAATATACAGGCTTCATTAGTATAGGGACGATGAGGCCTGGAGAAAGGGATAGGGGGTTTGGGGGTGTGGTTGAAGATGGGGAGTGTGGGAGTGGGAGAGGGGGGAAAAAAAAGAGACACGAGCGGAGGAGTAGGAGGATATGTGAGTTGAGAGGCTTGGTGGTGAAAGGGACCCTTTGGCGGTTGGCCTTTGGTCTGGAGTGTTTTGGTGTGTTCCGGTACAAGCAAAGCAACGCAAGCAAGCAAGTGCAGAGCAGATGCAGGACAGGAGACGGGAGTTTAGACGACTGGCCAGTAAGGACACTTTGTTAGGGGGTAAGGAGGGACGGCGAGGCAGGGGCAGAAAGGTGAGGTACCTCTTGTCTGCTTGCCTCGGAGGAGGAGGTACTTGGACCAAGGCGTCTTCTTTCTCTTACAAAGAAGTGACTCGCGGTACTTCTGAGAGATGCGATGTACTCCGTACACAGTTACACAATTGACCAGACCCGACTTTAGATACATCATACCTAAGGTATCTTCCCATCCTCTCCACTGAACAATACCAGATGCCGCAGCTCTATCGTCGACCCAACTTCAGACCTCAGACCTCAGGCATAAAGAGGATACATGGCATCAGCCAACGTGGAGTGTGAGGTATATGGGCCAACAAGGCGAAGCAGCAAGGCAAGGTGCGGCGTGCCTGATGTAAACCAATGCCTGGCAGGGCCACCGTCGCCGCCATTGTCACTTTACACACTACTTGCACCACACGCATGCCATGCCGTGTGTACGGAGCAGGTATGTGTGTGTGAATACCTTGGATCCACGGGCAGTAAGAGGTACGGAGTAAGGTAAAGTAAGGTAGACTGAGGTTCAGGGGATTGGTGGTCAGCATCAGGTTTCCGGGTGGGGAAAGGTACATGGCTTCATGGAGAGGACCACAGTCACACGTCAGTACTCCGTACCCTCTCTGGATTTCCCTGGACCCTCGCATCTCCCGCCCGCCAGTCGTCACCTTCTGTCTCTTTCTCCAAACTTAGGGCAGTTTAGACCAGGGCAGACAGCTCAGAGCAAGACAGGGGACTGGCTGACACGATGCAGCGCCCATAACGGGGCCAAGCGGAGGGTTGAGGTCAGTGTGAAACGGCAGCCGATCGGCCTTAGTGTAGTCTTTTAGGGGTGAAAGAGCCCCAGCCTTGTCAATGCCTGACCCGAAGCTCAAGGCACTAAGGTAAGGGAGAGCGTCCAGTGCCTTACAGACTTCCAGTCTAGTTGTCGCTAGTTGGTATATCATTTCTACTCTTCCAATGAACAACCCAAAGAGTACGAACAGGTAGCTGACATTGACAGTGACAGTCAATCAACTTCTGGGGAAGGTATCAGATCTCGCTTGTCGTCTACTCCTTCCCTTTTTTCACTTTCAAAGGTTGACTACCTACCTCATGCCTTCCCCCCGTCTCTCTCTCTCTCTCTCTCTCTCTCCAGGCCCGCCCCTCTTCCCCTTCCCTTTCCATGTTCCTTACTCCTTCCTCACCCGGGCAGACCTAGGCTAAAGTGGAGAACGGTACATACCTCGTCAGGGAGGAAGGGACGAGGGACAACGGCTGAGCGGGACAACGATTTGACACTCGTGGCGGTCTATAGTGGAGACCTTCCCTTACCTATCCACATTTTCTCTCCATATTTTTCCAACTTTGCACCTTCCCATCCCCCGTTGCCCATGGAATATTCGACTTGGAATGGAAGGCGGCAAGCACCGTCCATTTCCCGTACCGACGGGCAAGACCTAACACTCCTACCCAAGAGTCAAGACTCCCGGTCAATGGAAGAGACGGAGACAATGGTGCGTGCGCCGCGTCCGCCGTCCCTGTCAGGTCCGTAAGGTACCCTCCGATTCGAGACAAAAGTGCCAGGTTGCAAGTCGAATGCCGAGAGCTTGCACTCCAATGATGCCGCTAGACGGCTTTGGGCAAATCTAAACAGCTCAACAACGTCTCAAATAGTCCACAACCACATACAACTACCTCACCTCATTGTACTTTACTCTGGATAGATTCGTGCAGGAATCCTATTACACCACTACACCCAGTCTGCTTCTCGGGTGGTTACGTGGACATGCCTACACTCTTCGCACAACATCAGTTTTTGCGGCATGGGCTACTTACCTTACCTTACATCTGAAGCGTCGTACGAAGCCTGGGCATCTTGGAGCTCCTCGTGCACGCCGTGCCCGGCAGCCTTACGGCCAGGAGAAGAGAGAACCCCGGCTCTTATTTCGCCTACTAATGTCGTCCCTTCCGAGCTGGATCGAGCACCTCAGCTGCAAGAGATGCGGGCGGCGATGCGATACTACCCATGGAACCGACCTCTCTGCCAGGGACTTCCATCGATACTGCTCCCTCCATTGACAGACAATACGCCCATTCCATCTCCCTAACCGTACCCCTTATCCAAAGCCATGGGACCACCGTCAAGTAAAGCCTTCAGACTGCCATTAGATGTGCCATCCCTCCATACCAGGCGGGATGCTGCCCCTTCCAAATTGCATACTACATTCTGGCGCAAAATCTCCGTCCAGCAAGCACACAACTTCGCCTCATCTTCCACTCAAATTGAGTAGCCGACTGGCCCCCTCCTGATTTGGGTATAGGGATATGGCCTGTCGTCGACTGCAGTTGGGGGCCCAACTGATTTGACAGTCTCGATCCGATTCACAGCCGCGAACCACCCGCACTGCACTGGCAAGTACGCCCACGCTATACTATTCCCTCGGAGGAACATGTCCAGCTCCCGACGTTGCCTTGAGAGCTCAGAGTTGCAGTGCACACTGCAGAACCTTCCCGGTCACCAAACCAGTTGCCCGCTCCAGACGATCCATGTCATATAGCCGCGACATCTTGGTGTCTAGGCCGGTCGTGTCAGTCCGTCGACTCTTTCGGAAACTGCGGCTTCAAGAAGCCTTCAAGACCAAGACTTGCGGGGAAAGCGAGACCCCGTGGCAACACAATTGCCCGCGTTCTAGTCGCAGGCTGTGTCAATACCGAGTTTGCATCTTGATACCGTAACTAAAAGGAATGAACACTTTATTGCAGAATCACCATGACGAAACTCAATCAACATCGCCCAACTTCGGACGTCACCGCCCAACATTGTCAGTCAAGAATTTAACCATGGTTGGCAATTGCCTGTGCAGCAAATGACAGACTGCTTGATTTGCTGTCACGGTTAAATTGACACAAGCCACCAATGCTCCCGGCTTGTGTTCAAGGTACGCCGTCCATCAAGCCAGTCCAGGCGGCTGTGTGCTCTCTCAGGCTCGTCCAGGGGTTGCCCTCCGCCATCGCGAACCACAGCTTTGGATATCTCCAATTCAAGATCATGGTCGTCTGCGAATATGATAAGGAACAAAACGGCGATGATTCCCTGCCTCGGCATCCAACCTCACTTGATAATATCTGAGCATCGAGTTGACGCACACTCTGCGTTCAACATTACAACACCACGTCGCTACCTGACTCGAACACGGCCCCTTCTGCACCTTGCCTACGGTACTTTGTCGAATCATCGGTGCAGCGAAAGATACTTTCACTCGCAAAATAAAAGGGGGGAGGTGGCCACCAACAGACAGACAGCAAAGCTTGCGACGTGCTACCCAATGGGGCCATTGACATCGACGGGCCAAGGCCCAGCTTCACCAAGGGCCGCCAGGTGCAACACTGCAAAGGCGTGATGGAGATGCTGGTCATTTATGCTCCAGCTCGTCGCCCCCTGATCCTCCTCCAATGACAACCTCGGACGACGCTTGTCAGAGGATCTGCTAAAAATTCTGAAACATGGCTTTAGTCTTGCTTACCCTTGCAACGCTCGCTACCTACGGACGACCATGCACACGCCCCACGCCACGATCTGCCGCCAACGTCTCCCGCTACAACGCAACCCCCTTCCAATGCATTCCCTCGTATTTCGCTGTGGGCTACGGGCATTACTGTTGGACGTTCGAATGGTGGCTAACTACACGATTACGGACGAATGTCGTGGGCACTTCAATAGCCTCTATCCGTACGAATACAAACCCCTAACAGATCTGGTATGCAGTGTCTTGAATGGCCCGATATCGTCTCCGGCTCCTGTGCCGACAGCCGCCCGCATGCTCGCCCGATTAGGCCAGGGGACAAGCTGATCCTCTGCTTTGGGAAAAAAGCACTCCAGACGTACCACTTGGATGCTGGCAAGGCCTCGTGTCGGAAGAAACAAAAGAAAACTCACAATCTGCGCATGCTGCGCTACTACACACTGAATCGGCCGTTATCAAACGTTCAAGGGTTGAACGATGGCTTGTCTTCCATCCCTAGACAAATCCTTTGGGGCTCATTGGCCAAGCTTCCGTCCTGCCGTCTCGTTCACCTCCCGACCTCTTGATTTGATGAGAGACACCTGCCATCGCAGCTCTTGACTTGGATCGGTCTTCAACCAAGATATGAATACCTACCTACCTTACACACGTGACACACCAGCCGCTGCCCCTCCAAGCTGGTCGATGAGAGTGTGCCCGTCTTCCATCTGCATCAGCCCGTTTCACTGGCACTTTTCCGTCCTGGGGCACACCCAATCCTGTGTCGAGGCTTTCCGCCTTTGGTTCGAACGGACAAGGAGGCCCTTCTTCTCGTTCATGTACGCTATGTGGCTTCTACTCAGCGAACATCGGACATCGTCCCCCTCCCCCCCTCCCCTTCGCTTTCGTCCCAGATTCAGGATGAAAGTGCCCTACCTACTTGACCTATACATGTGCAACACGACACGGACCTTCCCAAGTTTCCAGCCTCAACTTACTCCGCGGCCTCCGCCGAAACTGGCGCCAGAGCCCTCTTCCGCCACGTCCGTTGTGCGAGTGACGCGTTCCGCCGCGCAGCCTCAATGCATTACCGCCTACGGCATGATCGGTCGGCCGTCACTCGCAGCTCGTTGCCCGCACCGCCGATGCGGCCCTCTTTCTCTTCACGACCACGAGGACCAGTCTCGGCTCCAAGCTCATCCTGGCCCGCTGTGCAACGAGACAGAAAGGCGCGGTGGCTTCGGTACTTGGCTAAACAATCTATCAACTCATGCACCGCGGTTCCAGGTTCGGGGAGGGTGCCCGCCACAGTCAACTCCTGGCCCCAGGCTTGCTTTCGTGAGGCTCAGAGAGGGGGCACAACGGAGGCTAAACTTCCCCGTCGTGGGTCCCCCCCCTTCTCCGACCAGGGCGATCACCGGGGTCCTCTCGGGTAAAAATAGCATCTTATCTTGGCCCCCGACCTCATCCGTCATCCCTCCCCCGCGACTAGTTTCGCAGATCTCGCGAAAAAGCTCCAGTCATCAAAAAAATTCCAAGGCCACAAAACTGTTGTACCGCGTATGCATGGCGTTGACTGGGCAGAGCCGTTCTCCGTCCCAGCCATGAGAAAACTAAACCAAACAAGGCGTGTTTTCCATGTATCCATGCGAGTTCTTGGAGCAGGAAGAGGGGCATGCACTCGCTGATCAGCAGAACAAATCCAAGTTGATGCAACGAGGAGGGGTTGAAACACTACCCCGAGATAGGGTGATATATCGACCAGCCCAGAGACCTGGATCATTCCCAAAATATCGGTATGCCCAGATTGTCGAAACGACGTTGGCGCTCTGAATAGCTATATGGCGCCAAATGGCTACCCGGCATGGACAGCTACGTGGGCGTTATTATAACCTTGGTAGGTCTGCTTGGTATCGAGTGAGCCGTCCCCAATACCCGCTGGAAATAGCCACGGGGCTCCCCGGGCATGCGTCTGTCACGAACGCTGCTTGCGAGGTGTGATGGGTATTGGGCAGAACAAACAAGTAGCTATCGTGACCGCCTGGCATGCTCGGCGCTGCTACACCACATTCAGCACACATTGCTCCGGCGGCCAGTCAGGTAGGAAATCTGCAAAGCCAATGGTCAGCAGGGTTTGTTTCCACGATCTGAGATGTAGGGCTATCTCATGGCATTCTCTATGAGAACGAAGGTCAACTTATCAGCCGAGATGTCACAATCTCAATGATGCCGAATGCATGCCTTGGTAGGGATAATGCAGGACGAGGTTCTTCTCCTGCCTCCGCTTGAGAAGCCAAGACGTGTCTGATTTGCGCGGTTCCCAAAATCGGTCTCGCCCTTGCACGGATATTGCGTGTGTTTGATTTGTTACTTGATATACATCGTGTTGTCCTGGGGTCGCTTTGACAGAGTGTTACATCTCACATGGCGTCAATCTCCTGTGACGAGTTTGTGCTATCACAAGTACCTTTCAATTCTGGTTGAGATTAAGTCTCTGGGACATTGCTGTGTTTACTGTCCAGACATGCCCATTGCGATTATAATAAATTGTGCTCGCGGTACTATACTCAGCCTTGGGTAGTATTGAAACTAATATCTTGATGCAATGTTGAACGCATCATGACACCAGAAAGACTGATACCGAACCGCCCATCTGAATAGAATATGGAGATTTCAAACAGTGTTCACCCTCGGTAGACTACATCTCTTGGTGCTTATATCAAGTATCATGCTAGGCAATCAAAACTCGAGCTCGGTGTAATCATGCATGTCATCAAGTAAGGCTGCAAACGTACGTTGATCGATTGTTGACCTGGAACCGTTCTACCGCCTCATCCAGCCCGCAATGTACTCAACTCCAGATAGAGGGGCGCCTGCTTTTGCTGGTGATAGGAATGGAACTTGGAGGGGGCAACGTATGAGGGAGAGGCTTTTTGGCTTGCGATGTATTGTATTGGACCAGATGAATCACATCACGCCTTCAGTTGAAAATCTTTTCTGAGGTCTTATAACCTGTTTACAACCTAACCTCATGTATGTAATACCAGGTATCTCTTCACCTCTGTGTGGTTGATGTGTGTTGACACGAGTATCTTCAACTCGAATGAGCTGCCTCTCTCCTACGCAACCCATTGTTCCGTCATTCACCACACTGTTCATGCCACTAAGCGTCCTCACTTACAGACACATATTTCAGTTTCGGGCACACTTAAATGTTTTGTATGTTTTTTTCCATTGAACTTTTATAGTTCTATAACCTATTTACAATTCGTGATGAAAATCCTACAATGCTTGAACCATTTTAATCCCTAAACGCCTGATGCTCTCTCTCTAGAGTTTATATCTCTACACTGAAAAACACCCCATCAATCCTAATCGTTATGCTTTCGTAAATCATCTCCTTGTGTCTTCAGACTTCATTCTCTTGTCTTATTCAACTTAGTCGTAAATGTCCTCATCCATCTCATCAGCAACAAGCTCGTCAACAGCGTCCTCCTCATCCATATCCTCGTCGTCGGTATCGAGCTCGCTGTCCTGGTGGTTAGGCAGCACCACCATCTTGCCGTTGATGAGCTCGACGCGGGCGTTCTCTCCATCGCGGATGTTGCCACGGAGAATGAGGATGGCCAGCTTGTTGAGAACCTCCTTCTCAATCAAGCGGGACAGCGGACGAGCGCCGTAGGCGGGCGAGTAGCCAGCATTACCGAGGTAGTCCTTGGCCTCCTCCGAGACGTCAATGTATACCTTGCGGCCGTTGCCCTCCAGCCGCTTCTGGATCTCCAGCAGGCGGATATCAACAATCTTGCGGATCTCGCGGCGGGTAAGGCGGTTGAAGATGACGGTCGAGTTAATACGGTTGAGGAACTCAGGCAAGAACCAGTTGCGGAGGGCGTTCATGACGAGCTCGCGAGTAGTGGCATCCACTTTACCCTCGCGGTTGGTGGACTTTGTGAGGTACTCAGCACCCAAGTTGGAGGTCATGACGACGATGCAGTTCTTGGCGTCAACGACACGGCCTTGTCCGTCGGTGATGCGGCCGTCGTCCATGAGCTGGAGCAGAACGGTCAAGACCTCCTTGGCAGCCTTCTCGACCTCATCAAAGAGGAGAATGGAGAAGGGCTTGCGGCGGAGAGCCTCGGTGAGCTGGCCGCCGGCGTCGTGTCCGACGTATCCCGGGGGAGCACCAATCATCCTGCTGAGGGCGTGACGCTCCTGGTACTCGGACATGTCGAAGCGGATCATGGCCTTGGAGTCGTCGAAGAGGAACTCGGCGAGCGCCTTGGTCAGGAGAGTCTTACCGGTACCGGATGGACCGCAGAATAAGAAGCTGGGCGGCTGGTTGGGGTTGCTAAGACCAGACCGCTGCAGTCGGATGGCGTTGGCGACGGCCTGCACAGCCTCCTTCTGACCAACGACGATCTTGCCGAGTTGCTTCTCCATGAGAACGAGCTTCTCCTTCTCGCTAGTCTTAAGGCGAGTGACGGGAATGCCGGTCCAGCGGGCCACAATCTCGTTGATGTGATCGGCGGTGACAACATCAGTAACCATGGCGCCGTGGTCCTGGCCTGATGCGTTGAGGGCAGCGTCGGCGGCGGCCTTCTTGGCCTCGAGTTCCTTGATGACCGCGCGCTGCTCGGGGATGGCGCCGTACTGGAGGTCGGCGGCCTTGGCATGGTTGCCGGCGTTGGCGGCATCCTCAAGACGCTTCTCGAGTTCATCGAGCTTCGTCTTGGCCAAGTGAATCTCCTCGCCTCTCTTGATCTCGCTGAGATACTTCTGGCGAAGAGGCTCCAACTCCTCCTCCACGTTCTTGGCATCCTTTCTTGCCTGGACCAAGCGAGTCTGGGACGCCTCATCCTTCTCCTTCTCCAAGGCAGCAATCTCAATCATGATTTGACGGAGCTTGCGCTCAAGAGAGTCAATGATTTCGGGTTGCGACTCCCTGGCGACGCGAACTGCAGCAGCAGCCTCGTCGACCAGGTCGATGGCGGAGTCGGGAAGTCTTCTCGACGTGAGGTAGCGGCCGGCAAGGTTGGCGGACGCAACCAGGGCGTTGTCGAGAATGGTGACGCGGTGGTGTCTGTCGTACCGCTCCTTGAGACCACGGAGAATGGAAATGGTCTCGGCAATGGACGGCTCCTTGACGAGAACCTGTTGGAATCGACGCTCGAAGGCGGCGTCCTTCTCGACGTACTTGCGGTACTCGGCGAGGGTCGTCGCGCCGATGCAGTGCAGCTGACCACGGGCAAGCATGGGCTTCAGCAAGTTGGCGGCGTCCATACCACCCTCGCCAGAAGAGCCGGCACCCATCAGCAAGTGGATCTCGTCGACGAAGAGGACAATCATCTCCTTGGACTCCTGAATCTCCTTCAGGACGCCCTTCATCCTCTCCTCAAACTCTCCGCGGTACTTGCTTCCGGCCACCAAGGCGCCGACGTCGAGCGACAGCAGCTTACACGCCTTGAGGTTGTCGGGCACATCGCGGTTAACGATTCTCTGGGCGAGACCCTCGACGACGGTAGTCTTACCGACACCGGGTTCACCGATGAGGACCGGGTTGTTCTTTGTCCGGCGGGACAAGATCCGCACGACTCTGCGGATCTCCTCCTCACGGCCAATGACCGGGTCTTGTTGCTTCTCGCGGGCCAAGGCCGTCATATCAATGGTGAACTTGGCGAGGTTCTCGTGCTCCTCCTCGGTGTCGGCGTTCTTGCTGTCCACCCGCTTCGTGCCGCGAATCTGGGTGACGGCATCGTGCACCAGCTTCGCCTTGGGGATATTGGAGTCCCGCAGGCAGGCTTGTATCGTGTGGTCCTCGGCGAGGGCCTGGATGAGGTGGTCGACGGCGATGAAGGAGTCTTTTTGCGTCTTTTGCAGCTCTTGCGCCTTGCGGAGGACGGCGTGGAATGTGGGTGCGACGGAGACCTGGTCTGGTGGCGGGTCTTGGCTCGGCAGGCGGACGAGCGTCTTCTTGAGTGCCCGGTCAAAGAGTTGCGGGTCGCCGTGGGCGCGCTCAATGACTTGCCGGAACATGGAGGAAGTCTGCGGCGGGCCGTTTTGTTGGTCCTTTGAGAGGTCTGCCGGGGGATCGAGGAGAGAGACGGCGAGGTGGACGGGGAGCAGCTGGGAGTGAGCGTACTGCTCCGCGAGGGCCATGGCATCCTGCACGGCCTTCTCGCCTCTGTCGGTGAATTCCATTCGTGAATTCATATTGTTGGTGTAGTTGTGGTAGCGATTGTATGTGGTTGCGTGGTTTGTCTTGTGAGGTTAAGTGGTAGGTAATTAAGAGTGGTTATACGTGAGTGGTTGGTTGTTGGAAGCTCAGAATGGCTTCAAGTTGAAGAGTCTATCATTCAACGGGGGTATCTCAATATGTGCAAGAATTAGCTTGGTGACTTGAGAAGGGAAGCCAGTTGAAGTTCGATTGCAATGTTGAATTTATGCTTGCAAAGTGAGGTTCATCTAGACCGTAAACCTGGAAGTGGGCCGAGAGGATGGACTGATCCAGCATGCGCTGGCAAGGCCGGGAAGTCGTAGGGCAGCGACCAGAACCTGGTAGAAGTCGCGCGACGTCACTAGAATCTGAGCACCGACCGAGCCCAAACCGCGGGGTTCGCTCTGGGTGCACGGACCTGCCGTCAACCATCCATCATCTTATCAAGATTATCGATAAGAGAGCCAAGGAACGTTTTGTCCGATATGGCTAGTGCCATATGGCATCATGTGACCTCCAGAGTCAAGCCACAAGTCAGCCACATCACCGGCGCGGGCCTGGGGGACAGGTTCCAGAGCTTCGGGAAATTTTGTCAAGCTGCCCGTCCCGAGAAGTTTAGGGGGTTGCCGACGACGACGACGACGAACGAACGAAACGATACGTCCCCATCGACCGATCGGCCGCAAAGCTAGCAACGATGAATTCGGTCCCGGTATTTCGCTTCTCAAAATTGTCCTTTGGCGTCGCCCGGACAAGCATACGGCATGGCCACACGCGGTCGCGACGCAGGACGCCCCAGCATGAGCTCACCAACTTTGAGCCGGGCCACGGCGAGCAGATTTGGGTCTGGAGCCACCTGACCTCGAACCAGGTCATCTACTCGCACACTAAGCAGCTCGAGGTACGTCTTGGAGGTCTTGTTGCTAGTCAATTGGGCAGGCAATGGCAGATTTCACTTGGGACCATGGAGTGAAGAAGCTCAGCTAACACTCACAATCACCAGTCCCACCGAGCTCTCAAACAACTCCCCTTCAACGGCAAGAAGTCCAAACCCGCAAAACTCCGCCGCGACTACTGGGCCCCCATGGCCCTCATCCAGCTCCCCGCCGGCGCCGGCGCAGCAGGCCAGTCCGTCTTCCAAAAGCTCCGCGAGTTCCGCCGCATGCACGAGCTCGCCTGGGAGGACGACCTCCTCTACAGGGAGAAGCGCACCGAGCTCCTCAAGCCAAAGGCCATCAAGCCGTGGGGTGCCAAGAAGAACGCCGTCGCCGCCGGTGCTGCCGTAGACGATGTTAAATACTCCGTCGCCGGCGAGACAGAAGATGCTGACGCTGCTCCCACCGAGGATGCCAAGCCCGCCCCCGAGGACCTCGTCCGCGTCCGCAAAATCGTCCGTAACCGCCACGAGCGCTCCCTAGCCCTCAACGACCAGCGCGCAAACTCCATCGCCGACATGGCCGCCGTCCTCGCCGGTTTTGGCAGAGGTAACCGCCTCATCGTCAGCAGCCGCGAGAAGAAGGCCGTGCTCGAGGAGGGCAAGGCGCTGGAGGGCCGCAAGTGGTCCAAGGCGCCGCCGGCCAAGACAGCACTCGTCAGCCAGTCTGGCGGAGAGGAGGTAGAGGGCACCACCAAGGCGCCGGCCGTCGATGAGCTGCTGCCCGCGACGATATACTGGGCCAACGAGGACGACCGCAACTTTGCGCAAGAGTGGTCCGGCAACGTCACGCACGACCTGTTCCAGGACGCCAAGGCGCTCTTGGAGGAGAACCAGTTCGACCCCGAGGAGGAGGCTGTCGCCGAGGTGGAGGCGCCCAAGCCGGTCGCGGAGCCCGTGCAGGGCGCTGGGGACGATACCAACTACAGCATCAAGGAGCCGGCGGCGGAGGAGAACAAGGAGGAGGGCAAGGAGGAGAAGGGCGAGAAAGACAGCAAGGCTGACACCAAGGCATAGAGTGTCAATGTCTTTTCAAGGGGGGTGGGAGCTAGGGGAACGAGAGCAAGCAGCAGCACTATTGTAAGATTTTTGGCCGAGACCTTTTTTTGTCACAATACGGGGAAAATGTGTACATCAAGAAAATTGGACGTGGAGTATTGTGCTATGGCATAGGTTTTTTATTCAAAAAGGAAGAAGAGACTTTGCAAGTCATATACGCAGTCCTGTTAGAAGTGGCTGGTCATTGGCATTGCCATGTAGACTATTGTATCAATACGGTTACATTGAACCCATGATGGACCGATTTCAAGGTCCCTGGTAGAAAAAACCCCCACGTTTCCTTATATCCCAATATCGAACTGTTCCGTTGGAAAAAAAGAAAACCCGATTTCCCGTTTTTATAGTAAAAACATGCATGTATAATGAGACGCCTATTTGTTAGGTAGGCGTTTCTTGGTCATCAACTTCGTTAAAGGTGTACGTTGTGTATCCGTACGTGTACAACCAGCCGTACTTATCCGTATACGGTGGAATTAGATCTGGATGGCAAACTTCTTGAGGTACTCGTAATCCTTGACGTTCGCGTCGACGCACTCGCGAATCTCCTTGAGACCCTTTTCGCCGTACTTCTTGAGCCATTCAGCCTCTTCGGACTCACGGGTGATGACCTTTTTCTCGCGGGGAATTAGCATGCTGCGAAATGTACCCCACACTAGTGTCTAGTGTGTGTTCGTCCGCCACGCCAAAGGTCAAAAAAAATATCCAGCGAGTTCAAGGAAGTGATTTCAAAAGCGCCCAAACAACAGGCAGGTCCTTTTTTGTATCCAATCTCTTTCTGGGGAATCATTTTCGTTTGGGAGGGGTACAAAACAACGACAGAAGCACCAGCCGATTAGGGGTAGGGGTTAGGGGCGACTTACATGCTTCTTGTCGCGCGGCTTGAGCGACGTGCTGCCAATGGCATCATCATGCCAGCCGTTCCACTTTGCAAACTTCTCCTGGGCGACCTTGGTGTCCTCATCGGTCCAGTTGAGCATGTTGTCAGTGAAGTCGAGGCCAACGTGGGCGCAGTAGGCGCGGATGACGGCCTCGGGGTCGTCAAGCATGTCATCGGCGTCGACAACCAACAGGTCCTTTTCGTCGACGATGCGCTCACGGATGAGGTAGTCAAATAGGCGGCGAAGCTCTTCATAACCGGCCTCGGACGGGTTGAAGTTTGTCCAGCCGGTCACCGCATCCAGGGGCGGCTGGGTGCAGCGGTAGTACGAGGGGATGGAGCGGCGCGGGTGGCGGATGAGGAACGTCCACTGGAACTTGCGGAGGATGCTCAAAGGCAGAACGGTGGGGTTGGTGGGCTCAGCCGTGTTGCCGGCGGACGGGACAATGGAGGCTTTTTGCTGGTTGGGAGGGATAATGTAGTAGGCCATGTCCTTGATGAAGGCGCGCTTCTGTGGTTGGGTGTTAGTAATTTGGGTGATTGGTTTCTAGCATCATCATGGTCTGTGGTGGTGGTGTTGAGCAGAGATCGAATGCGACGTTGGTCACGACTCTAAGAGCTCCGCAGGGGTACCGGGGAACGCTGAGCGGCGATGCGCGACATTGTGGCGGCTGCGTTGCAAAGCTTCCACGGGTGTACGCACGCGAGCACCCCCAGACATCAAACGCCGCTTCAATCGAAATCAATCCAGAGTTTCGAGAAGCTCTGTTTGAAGCTTCAAAGAGCACCTCCGACCGAAAATTGAATCAATTTCGGGCGAGGAATGGCAAGTTTGGAATTGACGGTGGTTTTGACTGGGGGTCGCAGAAGCTCTGCAACTCAATGTGCCAGGGGTTGGGGGAGTAGCGCACTATAGGGGATTGTATGGGCGGGAATAGGGTGGAGGGGTGTGCGGGTGAGATCGCGATCGGAAAGACAACGACCTCATAATGAGGGGCAAATACTGTCTATGGAGGGGAGAAGGACTCAGGGGAGAGGAAAAACATACATCTTTGCCGGCCTCCTCAATTTGCCTCAGAACATCGGCATACGTCGTCTCGGCGAAGCCAGACTTTTCTCTGCCCTCAGCGTCGTTCTCAAAACGCTCACCAGTCCGCTCAGGGCCATAGTAGAACGCATCGCCAAAAGGCTCATGTACACACGCCAGCTTGTCCCGGCGGCTCATAAACACCTAGAATGATGAGAAATCGCCATGTTAGCTAATGCCGCTTTTCTTCACATGGCGCTCGCTGTACAGAAGTACCCCAGCAGCGAGCTGATGGTGGTTTCGTTGCACAGGCAAAACGAATGAACCCGTGGTAATTCGCTCAACACCACAGGTTCCTCCCCTCTCTCCTCCCGCCAGGCCGTCTCTCTTTCCCCCAAAAAGGAACGATTCAGGCACCCTGAACCTTGTCCGTTTTTGGGGTCCGGCAGGATTGCGTGCTCGCTCGTTTCCCAGAGCAGACACCAGGGAGGAACGAGCAGTGCCAAAAACAAGCCAACAGGCGTTATGGGATTGGGAAATCTCACTCTCTCAAAGGCTGTAGAGCAGGCCCTGGGGTGGGTCGCGCAGAAGATTGGCTTCGAAGGCGTGATGGCCATGATGAAGCACCTCAGCAGCAAAGATGGGGAATTATCCTATGGGATTTGCTGGAATTGGAACAACCGCCAACGGGGAAGACGGATGATGGAATCCGGCAAGGGGTGAACGGGTAACGGGTAGGCAAGGAACCGAAGTTGCAGAGCTTTTGGTGTCTTAATTGGCACCCGGTTGTGAGAAGCTCTTGTCGCGATGTCTAAACAACAGAAATGTTGGATGTAGGGGATCGTGAATGTCGAAATAACAAGGTATCGATGGCGGAATCGAGGAGGAACGAGGAGGGAGAGGGAGAGGGAGAAGCTGGTTATAAATCGTTTGGTCCTTCTCCCCCCCTTCATGGTTCAGCTTTCCCAGAAGCTCTGCAACTCCCGCTTCTACGGTCCAGTCCACGGCAACGGCAACCGCTCCTCACTCGATCCCTCGCGCCGCTGCCGTTCCTTTGCCTATTCACCACCACTTTTCCTGCTGTATACGCCTCTCATGTCCAGGTCCGACTGCCTTGGACCGACAGCCGCCGGACCAGACGACAAAAAAAAGGTACGTAGAGTTACTAACTGCGTACTTGTTGCGTCTGGACCATGGGCCAGCACGGTGCCTGGTGAGGCCACCCCTCCCTTCAGACGGATGAGAACGAGGAAGAGAGCAAAGAAGATGGAGTGAGTGGTGGTAGGGAACAGCCGAACAGCAAGAGAGGGTACTTTGGTACCGAAAGGATGTGTGTGGCCATGCCCACACTTCACCCACTTGGGTTGAGCCTTGCTGCAACTCGGGACATTTGGATTGTGGGAGAAGAGGGAACACCAACAAGTAGATGGGCAGGTATAAGTCGGGTAAGACGAAAGTACTCTCTCATCCACGTTAACGGGCGGAAAGCAGTGTAAAAGTCGGACAAAAAACACGCCAAAGATACCTCGTCCGGAGACCAGACGGTTCAGCTGTGGTACCTGCTCTACTACGTGCGGATACCTTTGCCTTTGGATACATCCTTCCACCTTTCTACTGACTGAGCAATGAGGTATTCTTCGGATGGGGAAGGCGTAAGTGTATTCTTTTTCCCATCCTTCCTCGCGGTGCGAACCTTGTCTTACTACGCGCACTACACGTCATAGCACAAGGAATTGATCCGGCACACACCAATTGCAACACAGGCGCCTCTGCGCCCCCAGCAGCACTAAAAGTCTGCCGAGTGTTGCAAGCCCGCTTTTGTCGGATGGGACAAGCTGTGGGAGGGGGAAAAAACTCTGTCTTTTGCGTGCAGTGGTGCAGCGACATACAGATACAATATTGCAGACAGACGCGCGACACGAACAGGAAAACAAAGGATATTTTGCGGGAATCTGGACACTTGCATAGCGTGGGTACTTTTCTTACGCAAGTTTTCACTCGGTCATGGCATCAAGGCCCCAGGAAAGTTCCCGAATGGGTCCCATTAGGAAAGACACCAACTCAAAGAGAAAAAAGAGACCCCAGAAAAAAGCAGGGCAAATGGAGACGTTCCGCGGCGGAACGTGTGTCGTCGTGTGGAGCCGTCTCGCGCGGGATCCAGCGACGAGCATCATTGTGCTCCAGCTGAGCTCCATCTGGCGACATGTCGAAAACCTCGGCCTGGCCTTTGTGAATTGGGACGGCAGATACTCGGCATCTGGATATGAGGAGGTGGATGAGAAAACAGAGCCAACAAGAAGAACGAGAAGAGGTGAGTATTCGGAGAGACAATGAGCCAAGATCCAGGACCAACTTTGGTCGCCATACAACAGACCACATCCATCAGGGGTCCTGCAAGTGCTGCAATTCCAGCACGTCTTGTCCATGTAATTTGGACGTAATGGACGTGGAGTTGCCGATCCACCACCAGAACCTCACCGAACGGCGGACGGGCAGAAAAAAAAGGGAAAGACCACACAAGAAAAAGACATCCAACAAGAGACGGACATGGACCGGTCCGTTGAGAAAGGAGGGGGGGAAAGTAACCAGACAGGAAAGAGGGGTTCAGCTTTGTGTGCGTGCGTGTGCAAGTGCTCGGCAGACAGAGCAGGTGCACACCTCAACAAGTTGCAAGAGCTTCGCAGAGCTTCCTAGAGCTTCTGGCAACCCCGACAACTCCAGCCCACCCCCTTCCGCGCCACGCTAAACAGTTGCAAGAGCTTCTTGACCCCTTCCACACCCAGTGCAGAGCTTCGCGAAACTAACTTTGGCTCTACTCCTTGGTCTCGATCCTTCACGATAGCCAGCACATTGTAAAAAGGGCCCAGACGGTAGATAATCGGGCTTGCTGGGCAAATCTGCTCATGTTGTTGGCTGACCTTTTAGGAGGGTGCGTGTGGCCGGACGGGCGTTGTGAGACATTCGGACATAGGGCACGCGACCAGCCCTCTGTTCTCATCTCGCTCACGTTCTCTCTCTCGAGAACATCACATGTACCTCGAGCTGTAGCGATGGATCCGTCGCTTCCTTCTTCACCAACTCTTGCGTGGGGAGGAAATCTCTGCATATGTCAACTCATCCATAACGTGGGAGAATCATGGTGTCTCTCGCCATATCGTTGTCGGGCTCCCCTTTTTCTTGTCCCCTTGTCACAACATACTCGGGATCAGGTCTCACAACGCCACCAGCTCGGCGTGTGAAGACTCGGCATCAAGTGCTCCTTTTCAGCAAACTTTCCAGGTATCCATCAGTCCCATCACAGAGCCAGGGTTGGAAGAGGCATTTTCAGACCATTCCAATGTATCCATGAGTCGACTCAGCATAAAATCAGGGTCGAAGAGGCAAAAAGAGTATGTAAACGCCTCGGAAAGACGAACGACGAGACCCAGACTCAAGACGAGAGAAGACTTTTTTCGTTCCGCGGTTTCCATTACACAATGGCTAAAGGGAGGAGGAGTCAGTCATCCCACGCTCCTTGGGGGGTTCTGGTCACTGGGTGACCTGGTTCCAGCCCTCATAATGCACCTCCTTATTTCGAATCGACATTAGTTGCGATGTCGTCAGCCAGTCCAGGCCTGTTCCGTCCAATAGACTCCCCTTGTGTGTTCCCAGCAAGAGCATGGCGTGCCCGCCCACTCGCCCCGTTACCCCTTCGTGGCCCTTTGTAGGCCCGTAGTCCGCAAAACCTCTCAGTATTTCGCATGTAGACCAGATGTAGCCTCAAAGCATATCCCGCGTGCCATGTCAACGTCCGCTCAGAGATCATCGGCAGTCGCCAGAGACGGCCGTCGCCAATGCCGACATCCATAGAGTTGCCGAAGCTGAATCGGAGAGGGGAATAGCCCAGGGGCCTAGAAGCCAGACTTAGACAGAGAGTGTGTGTAAGAGAGAGACACCGCAAGCCAAGTCACGAGGAAGGGGAGGGGGAGACCGCCAACCAGTCCCTCCCCTCTCACGACCGCTGGTCCTCCCAGCTCCCAAGCCACCGCCATCTCTCCGCCACCCGAGCCACCCCGTCCAGCGCTCCCTTGACCCTCCCCTCCGGATCCCGGAACCGGTGTCCCTCAAACTCGACGAAGAAGACATAGTTGAACGGCGCCGTCAGGCTCGGCCGGCTGTTGATGCTCGTGAGATTCGTCCCGTACCGCCGGAAACACTCCAGCACGTTCGCCAGCGCGCCGGGAGCCTCGTGCGGGACCGTAAACGACACCATGGACTTCGTCTTTGTCTTTGGCCTGACGCAGTGGCCCGGCATCTTTTGCTTCTCGTCCAGCCCCTTTCGGATGATGAAGAACCGCGTCGTATTGTCCTCACGGTCCTCAATCGTCCGCGCGAGCACGTCGATGCCGTGCATGCTCGCCGCGATCTCGCTCGAGATGGCGGCGCTCGTGCCCGTCTCGTCCAGGCTGACCAGCTCCGCCGCACGGCTCGTCGAGCTGACGTCGATGGCCTCGATGCCCTTGAGGTACGTCTGCAAAAAGGCTACGCACTGGCCCCACGCTTGCGGGTGCGAGTACAGGCGCCGGATGTGCTTGAGGCTGCACAGCGGCTTCGTCCGCGGCTTGAGTGGGTTCGGGTCAGACGCCGTCGGCGTGCAGGCGCCGGATCCTTCGTCTCCCCCCCGCAGTCCCGGGCCGGCGGCGGCGTCGTGAGCCGGGTCCGGACGGCGGCCGACGAGAAAGTGGTGCACGTCGAGGTAGATCTCGCCGCAGACCGAAATGTCCGGGTACAAGCCGTTACGATCGGCAAAGTTATCCAGCGTGAACAGTACGGACCCATTGGTTGAGTTCTCGACGGGCACGACACCGAAAGCGACCTCGCCGGCTTGTACGACCTCGAAGATGTCTGATTCAAGTCAGACCGGAGGTAGCACACGGCACGGCGCGGGAACGAAAAAACCGAGAAAGAGAAGGGGAATGATGCCATGGATAGGCGACCGAAGAAAAGGGGGTGGTGAGTTACGTGCCTGTGATGTTGACGACGGGTCTCAGATCCCACTCATCTTCCGGAAAAGCCTGCAACGAAGCCTGCGATGCACAAAGTTAGAGATGATTGACAAGTTTCACCACTCTTGGCATATGCCGTGCGAGGTGTGATATCTTTTCTTCAGGTTCGTGGTACCTACCTGGTGGGTGTACGAGGCCTGGGGACCCAGGAAGCCCACCAGAGGCTTTACTCCTCCGCCTGCAGCCTCTGCCGGAATCTGAGACTTGTCACCCATGGTTTGATCGTGACGTGACGTAAAAGTCTGGATGAACGGGGAGCAAAAGTACGTGAGCGTGAGTTTGGAGGAGGCCTTCAAAAATGGGCAGAGGGAGTGATTCGTGGCCGAGTATTCGTCCTAGAGGGCGCATACACACGCTGACAGAAGTCGTCTGCGTCGTCGTGGAAGTCGGCAGAGTAGGATGATGATGATGAGGAGGAAGAGGAAGAGGAGGAGGGGCCCTTTATTTCCGGATCCCGGGTAGCCGCGTCGGGGTCGCACCTTGGCGCGGTCAGTCGCTGCAGAACACAGAAGACGGCTTCCTTGTACTATTTCGGATACGAAGCCAACCTCATTTACTGATCTGCGCGTGTCCTACAATCGCCGGGGGCGCAAAGTCGACGACGAACGGGGCTGTCGGAAATTTTGACGTCCTTGTGGTGGTGGTGGTGGTCGTCGTCGATATCGGAGGTTGAGTGGTGGACTGGGCTTTTTTTTTCTGGCTGGAAGGGGAGGGGTTGCTCCCGCGGGGCCTGGGGAAGATGCTCCACTCGCCGATGAGCAAATGCCGGGCCCGGCACGACTAAGACATTTGCGACCTTTGCCAACCCGCCAGCTTGGACTCGACGATTTGATTCACCTGTTGAGCGGTCATGGTCAGTCATAGTTTTTTTTTTTTTCGTTTTTTTTGTGACATATTGGGAATGCAATTTCGCCATTGTGATAACCGCTCCACGACGGAAAACTCACCATGGACGAGATACAGCTCAAAAAGAGTTGTCACCTTCAGATCAACCACCCTGAGATTGACAGCGGATCATCCCGTCGCTCAAGACATTTCAGCTCTCACATGAGCTACTTGGGTCATGTACGTACGTCTAGGGTGTCTCCTTGTCGATGCTTTCGCTTTACGTTTAGCTGAATGACACGCATCAAGCGAATGCTCAACTTCAACGATCATTTTGGTCTCTCGAGGTGCGCCTGTCAAAGTATCGAACCAACATCTTCCGCTGTCGTGTGCGTGTGCGCTTTTGCGACAACATTGGACGTAGATGATATCACAACGGTCTCAGTAGCGAAAGGGGGCCCTCGGACTATTAGCAAAGGCGGTCACCCTTGACTGCCGCTTATATCTTCAGCCGACCGACTGCCGTGCCTTATCGTTCACAACACCCTCACGCCCCGCCATTTCCAAGGAATACGTGCTTTCCAATGAAGCAGTCCTGATAGCTCCCCGGTTCTTGGTAGGAAGCCCCAGGCAAGATGACGACATATTTGATTGCTCACGTTGGTCTGGTGTCCTACCCATCACAGGGTGTTGCTCGTCTAGCATCGGTCAAGTCGCTTCACGCATCAGCTGAAGCATCGTCGCATCGGTCAGTAAGCAACCGCAGCGGTTGGCATCACCAGAGCCTGCACTTGAAACGGAATGAGTTTTGCATCTTGTGCTGATGAGTCTTCTGAATGGGATACAAGAGCACTGTTGAGACTTCAACGGAAGCACCGGAAGACTGACGATAGCCATGCTTGGAGACAGAGGTTCGTCCCGTCCGCAAAACACCTCTCTCGTCAACCATCCCGATGAGCCCGCGTACACGAGAAACACGAAATAACGGTTGAGTCACAAGCCCCGCAGCGTCATGCGTCCGGAACGACGTCGTCATGCTCAGACCGCAAACCCTCCGGAGCCCGAGGCTCCTCCTTCTCCGTCGATGCCGGGCAGAGGGCCAAGCCGATAGCCGTCTATGCGGGGACCGGCGACCCGCCCGACAGACCGACTTGCCGACAGTGCCTAAATAGGAACTCATGGGCGCCGAGGCGGCGGCGGCGGCGGCGGCGGAGCTGTGTGGAGCATGGGCTTCGTCCGAAGCTGGCAGTAAGTGGCGCATCCTGGCGTGCCTGGTTTGATTTTTAGCGTTTCCGCACCAATCCCAGCTGGGAGTTCGTCGCAACTCTACTCCCCTTCAATTTCGAGTAGACTTCTATCTTTCCTTCTTAGACTCTTTGCGAAAAGAACCATCTCTTACAACCTGCAATGTCCATGCTGCTGTGGTGCTTCGAATCTGCTGCAGGGGTGAAGCACGGCATCTATAGCGCAACAGCAGGTTCGGAGCGGACCTCTGGGGTGAAGCAGGGGAATGATGGGACAGTGGTGAAAGCTGCCCCATAGCTTTCTTAGCAACACGGAGGCAGCAAGTAGGCGACTCCTTCGGTCTCGGTCCCGTTCCGTAGACTGCGATACGAGTTTGAAGGTTCATCGCGAGTACTCCGTAGTGTCAGTTGCGACGACAAGGCGGGTGTGGCCTCATCTTGGTCTTTCAACATGTTTCTGTTTCTTCAGAACCCTGTCCACGTGGAAGGCCACCGGTCAAAGGTCACACAGGCCACGGCTGACGATGTCGAGTTTGAACGGCAAGGCTCCAGCAGAAGCAGCAAGGGTCGTCGTCCGTGATGAGCAGCTAGGAACGGTAGTGAGGTGCCGGCGCGCCGGGAGAAGACCTTCCCACAAGCCGATCTCCATCGCTTATTGCAGAGTGGCAGCGTGGCTAGGACCGATGGCTTTCTCTGAATGAGGGGGATTAGCACCAGGCCGAAATGTTTGTACCGCAACGAGATGGTCACTGGGCATGCAAGGCAGATCTTCCAAGGTTTCATGTTTCAGGCTTTGTTGACGCCCGCTCTGACCAGGCCACGTTGGCACTCCATTTTAGTTGACCAGACGGCCGGATCTAGGATTGCTCTGCAGAAGGATACGCCCTTTTTGGATGGTTCCCAAGCGGTCTGCTCTGAAACGTGAGCGGCGGGCTCTAGGGGACATATTTGGGAATATCGTCAGTTTTCGAGGAGTCATCTGTGTCGGCAAATGCCAAGTCTTGGTTGACCGTATGTGTTCCCCTTTCCTAGGGTGGCGACTTGGCGGTGATCGGGCCATAACTCATTTCCTTCGCATGACTGCAGTGACTGCATGCCCCCACAAGTCGCGGACTGCTTTCGCCGAAGACTCAGCATCAGGAGCAGATGGGGATAAGCATGAGGTGCCCTGCGCGTCTTTCTGTGCGACGACGGCACAAACGGCTGCGTATCTTGCCAAAATAGCAGCGTTGGCGTAACCAAATCCACCAACATGCCGTGGAATGGCACTTCAGCACCGTCAATTTCGCAGACCGTGGGTCAAAGGTTGCAGGAAAAAGAAAGGTGACGTATATCTGTACTCTGTGTACACACATGTCAGGTGGACATTGAGATGTCTCCTAGCCCTGATTTTTCGTAGCAATCAGAGGTGTCACGGGAATAAGTGCACCGTCCAGAGCTTAGCTGTGTGTCACATAGCGCCTCTTACAGGCAGAGAAAAGTCAAAAGGCGGCTCGAAATGACAATGTAGGTGATTGGCTCGAGATGTGCCAAAGAAGGCAAAGAGGCTCTAGAAGGGGTGAGGCCCAGCCGGGATGATCCACGATGCGCAAAGTGACGGTGAACGCCCTCTCCACGTTAGATGTGCCTTGGGCTCAGACTGGCGTCGCCGTGTTAATTAATCTGAGGGGACGCCAACGCCGAAAGGTAAGTAGGAAGGACGCTCCGTAGCACCCCCGAGTTCCCCCCAGTCTTGCGAGCCAATTCCCATATGGAGACTGGTGAAGTGATGAAGCGCAGTGGTGCCGTGGTGGTTGAGTCTTGGTAGTCCCTGGTGTCCAACGAAGCACCAGTGAAGACACGGCGGGATATTGGCGCCCAGAGGAGGGAAACCAGGGATGCAGGGCAGCGGAGAGGGTGTCGAGACGTGCGACACGACTGGTTTCAAGCGATCCAGCCCCGAGTTGAGTGCGGGAGTGCGCCGGAGCCAATCACCGGTGGACGCAGGCCATGCTGCCGGCCTTTGCGAATCCTCCATCGGCCTTGTCACTATGAAATTCTGCAGTTCTGTTGTGCTGTCCTCGGCGAATAGCTTACACTTGACTTCTCTAATGGGTACCTCTTGGTTCGTCGATAGGTGGTTCACGATGGTCGGTGGCGACCTGCTCCTCCTAGCAAGCTGCGAAAGCAAATAGGGGATCGCAGCCAAATTATCAGGGTGTGTTGGTCTGCTCGTTAGGCCTATCATGTTGCAAGGAGTCGGCTCCATTGTATGGCGTCCGTCCAACGGACAAGACCTCCGCCTGTTGGTCAGCGGCCAAACCAATCTTCGCCTATCGTGTAATCGTATCATCGTCCCAAGCAGAGTGGAACCGGCGGAGGTATCATCGCAGCGGGGATCTCTGGCCCTCTCGTGATCCGGGCGAGACGGACAAGCTCTTGTTGTTGACAGCGTCCGGTTGCGACGGTGACCTCCTCCAAGCAGCCGGGTATTGTTGTGGAGGGCTCATGCCGAGCCTTGGTGTATATCCAGACAGATAGTATAGACCACGGAACATGGCATGCCAAAGTGTTCGTTTGATGGGCCGCCTTGTCACTTGCAACCGAGAAAGGATCGTGAGCAGGCCTCTGTGGGTGGGTTACGGGTAGGCTGACGATAAGACGACGTCTGGCACCACGGAGGCGAGGCCGTGCATGATGGCGTGGCTACTAACCACTCGGTATTCGTACGCCTCGGTGGCTTTCATAGTATGGCCGAAGCCATCGTTGTGGAAGATTGTGTTCCAGAGGAAATTGCATCCCATCTTTGTCGGGAGTCAAGGGCGGTCGAGGTTCGAAGAGAGGTGCCGTGACGTGGCTTTGGCGAACAGAGTCTGAGGCTTTGAATAGGAACAGTCTTGCAAGCAAGGGGCGGGCGGCGCACGCAACCAAGCGGGTTTGCTGACGGGCCAAGAATAGCAGAAAAAGATTCGGATGGGCGCGTGTAGGATTGTTCCAGAGGTGAGCGAGAAGCCGGGATGTTCTCTGGTTTGTTTGAAGAACAATTTGAGCTTGGTCGGCAGCTGAGTAAACTACCGTCCGCCATCCGCCACTATTCACGTATTCCGTGGCTAGACGTGGTTGCTATTCTGTTGCACCTCTTTTCTTCTTGGGGTCCCTGCAGGCTCTGATGTGTCTGGTCGTCATGATGAACAGGCCGTGATGGATCAGAGGCACGAGAGGGTCTCTTGTGGCACACTGCAATACAAGAACACGAGATATTGACTTGGCGGCGATTGGCTGGGCGGCGGGGGTTGCATGACGGCGCATTGAGGAGGGCAAATTACACGTTGGGGAGACATTGGGGGATATTGGGGACGCTTGGGGGGAGTAAGACGGCTCACGGCTGAGTAATTCCTCAGGACTTTCTCAGGTACATTGTCCATGTTTCTGGTTGGAAGCACGGGAAGGCAGGCTCGAGAGTCATTCTAGAGTGCCTTCCTCAGTGATGGGCAGTCAAATCACAATGGAAGGTACTGACTGCCCAGTCAAGCAGTGAAGGCAAGTGCTAAGGAGACTGACTGAGGAGGGCAGGTGCCGCTGCAGAGCCAAAGTTTGGGTGGGGACGTGCGGCGTTGACCCTGCTTGAGCCAGTTTCATGAAGCCGCCGCCGTCGCCATACCCTTGCAAACGCCCTTTTAAAGGTTGCCATGTTGCCAAGGGTGCAGGCAGGGGCTTGGCTTCTCCATCCATGATCCGCCATCGCGCCTGAGACTCATCGTGGAAGGAGAGGAGAGGAGAGGAGATACACACAGAAGAAGCCTTTGGCCAGCGAAAACCTTGTTGAATCGACGTGCCATTTTGCCGTGTAATGTCGCTCTTGAGTGGACCGCAAACCCGAGGGAACCGGGCGAGTTGGCCAGAGATGGAGGCTCTTTGATAGCATTTTGGAACACATTGCTAGCATAAGTAAGCCTCTTCGAAGTACTGTGTAAGCCTGTATGACATGCTCAAGCAAAATGAAGAAACAACTGTTCAAAGACTCGGTGACGAAGAGGATCAGGGTTTAGCTGAACAATACATCAAAAGACCAGACCTCAAACAACGCGAACAAAACCTTGCCGTACGCCTCATCGTCGTCGTACCCCTTCGCAACGTTGCCTTTCTCTCACTGTCACAGTGGCTAAAAGCCCAAGGCTCAAGGGCAGACTCTGCGGAAAGCTTCTCTCGAGTGTGTTTGTTTCCCCCAAGTTTCTGCCTCAAGCGAACAGACGCATCAGGGCCGTTGCGAGGACTGTGCGGCCTGTAAATCTCGTGTTTTGTAGCTCAGCTTTGCTTCGCTTTGCTGTACAGTGATACCGTCCGTTGTTCCAAGGTTGTACATACACAGCACCTCAGAGAGATCCCTCTTTGCATTGGAGCCTCAGCCAAGTCCATTTCCTTTCACGGACTACTGCGACAGCACACAAGTGACAAAGGAAGAAGAAGCATTGGAAGCTTGTTGCCGCCCTCCCCTCTTCTGCCCTTCCCCCCTGCTGTATGGTCTGTGGTCGCTCACCTCAGGTAGAGTCTCTGTGGTGGTGGTGCTCCCCACTCGTAGATGAAGTATCTCGCATCCCAAGTTGTGCGTAAAGGTACATCTGAGGCTGCTTACACCTGCACCACTCACACATCCCTCCCTGCCGCTGGCTCCCAAGCAAGTGCAAGTCCCCTGCACCCCCAAAAATCCATCATTAACCCTCCCCTTCCCTCCTCTTTTTCCCTCCCGGCCGAAGTACCCGTAATTCCACACACGACCTTCGCCCTCACCAAATTCCCTCCTCTGCGTCTCCAAGCAGAAACCAGACCTTCACGGTCCGGCACTGAAGAGGCTCGACATTCCCCGACCCGGATCCAGCGACAGACATCTACATTCCACATTTTCGCTATACCGCAACTTCTTCGCTTCTATCGCATCCGGCCCGACGCCTTGTTCCCTGTCTCGGACACCTACCTGACGGAATCCTCTCTCGGCACGACGCGCTCCAGGAGAGGCAGCTGAGACAAACCCCTCCCGCGATCACCACCACCATCGACCACGTCAACTTCACTTCAGTCAATGTCCACCTGACATATCACAATTACAAGATGGCAATGCTGGCCCCCAAGACCGCATTCCCGGCACCGCTGGGCTCCAGCAATCCCATGGTTTCCAACGTTTCTACCGGTGCCGCACCGCCCTCAAGACGGGCACCCACGATCCCCAACCAGGCCACAGCCTACGCCAGCCCGACCGAATCCGAATTTTCCGAGAGCGACGGCCCCGATGCCGTCAAGAACTGGGACGAGGACAAGGTCTGCGACTATTTGAGGAGCGTCAAGTGCGGCGAGTACGAAAAGCTCTTCCGTAAGAACCACATCAATGGCGAGAATCTCCTCGAACTCGACAAGGATGTCCTCAAGGAGATGGGCATCGAAAAGGTCGGCGACCGCGTGCGACTGTTCCTGGGCATTAAGAAGTTGAGGACAAAGGCCTACGCCAACCAGAAGAAACGGAATAGGGTACGTGCAAGACTGGCATTCCCCCTTGCGGCACCGTGAGATGCCGCCATCAATGGGTAACACAACTGACATTTGACCATTACAGGATTCGTTTGGTGGCCTTGACCAATTCACCCCGTCGTCGGGCGGGTCTTCTCGACCCTCTGCTTCAAGTGCTCGTACCGCGCCCACGCCTTCCATGAATAAGCGCTATTCGAGACAATACGACTCCCTTCCCCTGGAGAGCGCGTCTTCCCGTCCCAACTCACCCCTCCCCGGCACGGATGCCATCCGCCCTCTGCGAACAAGATATGGCCAAAGTCCCGGCTATGTGAGTAGCGCCGGGCAGTCCGTTCCCCAGACCGGCCGATTGGTAACTTCCCATACCAGGAATAACTCCAGTATGGATGGTTCACTGATGGCTGGCTTACCGCAGAATCAGGATGTTATCCGCGTCATTTCCACCGGAGGAGTTACAAAGGTCGTCAAGATCGCCGACTGCAACACGTGTGAGGAGGTCATGCGAGTCACCCTTAGGAAGTTTGCACTACGAGAGGATCATGAGAGGAACTACTGCTTCTGGGTACTGGCCGGCATTGAGCCGGACCCCAACCAGTGCCGGCGACTCGGCGACACGGAGCTGTGGCGGATTATCAAGGACCAGAAACGCCCTGAACGGAATCGCCTGATTCTCCGCCGCGTTCCTGCCGGCGAGCCAGGCATGCCCGAGCTCGAGAGAGCAGCGGGCATCGCCATTGAGGAGGCGCAGCAAAACCACAGCCGCGCCCTCGAGACTGTGGATAAGAGAAGCCAGATGAAGGTGCAAAAACTTTTGGGTGAGAGATGGAACGACGAGCTGCAACATCCTCTCTCCCCGGTCTCTTTCCACGACCGGGAGCGCAACGTGTACAACACCGCCAAAGAGCTGGAGCGTCCCGCATCCAACGACGGCCCTAGATCTGCCGGCGGACCCAGGAGGAATAAGGGCATCTTGCGGTCGTTTGGCGGGTTGCGTCCTCCCAGCGAGCTCATCGCCTCGGACCTCACATCCTACTTCCCAGATCACCCCAGAGAGGAGATTGACAGGACCGCTCGTCTGTCCATGAGAAGATCGACCCGTCTGAGCAAGGTCAACAGCCGTCTGAGTGTGGCTAGCAACCTCAGCTTCGCGTCTAGCATCCAAGATGCACCCCCTATTCCGACCATCGCCGACAGCTGGCTCCACGCCGGTAGTGCTCCCAAGGCGCGATCAGGCCTGCGGGTCACCCACTTCCGCGACTCCGTCGCCTCTTCCATGCTCGACACTTTGCAAGAGGAGTCGCCTGTTGAGCCGAACCGCAAGTCTTATGTGTCATTCGCCGACAGCTCCGACGGTGCTAGTGCAGCCGCTCTCAGCGTGACAGACCCTGAAGGTAACGTTACGCGGCGAAGCTACTTCGAGACCGACGGCTCAACGGGTTCAGGTTCCCTCAAAGATCTTACGGCGGCGCTCAACGAAGACGGCGAGGACGCCGATGAGGAGCTTGAGAGCTTCCTCGCCGGAGAGTCCTGGTCGGACGACAAGTGGATGAAGGGAGCCCTCATCGGCCAGGGCTCCTTCGGTTGTGTCTACCTCGCCCTGCATGCCGTGACCGGTGAGCTTCTTGCCGTTAAGCAGGTCGAGGCGCCAGCCCCGGGTGCCAACAGCCAAAACGATGCACGCAAGAAGAGCATGATCGAGGCCCTTAAGCGGGAAATCAGTCTGCTCCGTGACCTTCGACACCCGAATATCGTTCAGTATCTGGGTTGCAGTTCATCTACCGAGTACCTCAACATTTTCCTCGAGTACGTCCCCGGTGGTTCCGTCCAGACCATGCTCAACTCGTATGGTGCTCTCGGAGAGCCTCTTGTGCGCAGCTTTGTCCGCCAGATTTTGACTGGTCTGTCGTATCTGCATGATCGCGAAATTATCCACCGAGACATCAAGGGCGCCAACATTCTCGTGGACAACAAGGGCACTATCAAAATTTCCGATTTCGGTATCTCCAAGAAGCTCGAAGCCACCAACATCCTGTCCGGCGCGAACAACAACAAGCACCGCCCCTCCCTTCAAGGCTCCGTCTTCTGGATGGCCCCCGAGGTTGTGAAGCAGACCTCATACACCCGCAAGGCCGATATCTGGTCGCTCGGATGCTTGGTTGTTGAGATGATGACAGGCACGCATCCATACCCCGACTGCAGTCAGCTGCAGGCCATCTTCAAGATTGGTGGCGGCAAGGCGGCTCCCACGATCCCGGAGCACGCTTCCGAAGACGCCAAGACGTTCCTTGCTCAGACCTTTGAGATGGATCACAACCTGCGGCCGAGTGCGGACGAGTTGATGCTCAGCCCTTTCCTGGCTCCCATCACATAGTCCCTGCGTTGCAACAGATACCCCCCTCTTCGATTCTTTGGGCTCTTGTCGCTACACTTGTAGCGGACTTCTGTCCTTTTTGTACCTATTTTTCTTACGAAACTCAACACCTCCCCACGTCCTCACGCCAGGACGGGGATTTATATACTGGGACGAGACAGCGGATTGTCTCTCTTTTTGTACGTGCGAGCGGCCGCTGGAAGGACCCGACGATAAAGCATGGACATGGTTGGACTTCTCCTTGACATTCACGCATGGGCTGGCGAATGGAGAGAGGCTATAAAGATTTGGCATTTCACGGGCACCGGAGGGGCATGAAACAAGAGTGTATAATAATATCTCGATGAGAAATGACACTGAAGAAGGGGAATAATGAGCCTCGAGTTACAGTACAGCACGCAACTTGCACATCATGTGAGACGCGATTGTGAAGTCATCATGGCGGCATCAATTGACATTCTCAAAAGGCACCGACTGAGTGAGCTGGATACTCTGATGAACTTGCCCTCCGGGAGTATGGCCGAAGGTCCCCGCGACCCTGGGCTTCATAGTCAGCAATCCATCTCGTTTGTTCGCTCACTCAGCGGCATGGAGAAGGAATTAGCAGAAGCTCGGATGCGTCTCGTAATCAGCCGCCGCCGCCATTCATTTCCCGCCGGCCCTGGTCTGGGTAGCCAACGTCAAATCAAGTAATCAGTAGGCACTTTTGCCCATTTTTCTTCCTCATTGGGAAGCGAGAGTGAGAGAGTGAGAGAGCAGGGCCCGATGCGCATGACTATGCCATCGTCCACGCCCCCGGCCGGGTATGGATAAGCACAGTCAATTCACCGATGGGCGGCGGAGTTTATTCTCTGCTAACTTTCACAAATGTGTACGAAAAACCTCCGTACGGATACTTTTACGACTCGTCGTGGTCCTGTGATTTGCGTCATTTCCCGTTTTGTATACCTTGCGGAGTATATCCCTGAGAAGGCCATGTGCTTGACTTCCTCTTTACTTTTGCGTTGTTGCGGGGATTGATTGATACTCATTTCCGTTTTGGTGAGAATGGAAGTGAGAGTGAGATGAGAGATGAGAATGATGATGAGGATTTCCTTTTCATTATTTCCAACCTCGTTGCTCAAGTTCTCATACTCTCGCCCCCATGCTGCAGCTTTCCCCTCTCGGCGACTTTGGAAATACAGATCTGCGGGCTTGCAGGAGTGTGGAGTTCATGTTGTGAGCGTGGCTTGCATGGGTTTGGTTGGTGTCTGCTGGGGGACTGTTTTGGCCCGGGTTTCGCTTTCCCTGCTCGGCGTGAATTTGAGTCTTTGCTTCACGAAATACACCTTTGATCAAAGTCGCTGGAGTCTGGGAGACAGAACCCATGAGATGTGCCCGATTAGATGAGCGGAGGGGATGAATTGAAGGTGCGAATAAGAGAAGACAAATAAAATGCCATTCGGGTGATCAAATGCATCTCTCGACTCGACTACATGTCGAACCGCCAGCAACACCCAAAGTCAAGCCCAAGCATCTTGAGAAATAAATCAATGCATAGAGAAGACAGTACTATTTCTTGAGCAATCTGATTAAATTAATCCTACATGCAAATGCAGGCTCCCGGGGGCTGGAGCTACTCGGGTTTCGAACTTCGAGATCGCCTTCTATTCTCCCCAACTAGGTCAGGATTCTGGATTACTGCTGATCATCGGGTTACGGATGTCTTGCAACACCGAGGCGGAGATGTGCCCAACTTCCCACTCTCCAAGCTCCAAGTGCTTATTTTTGCCTTCAGCTACCCAATGATCGTCTCTGGGAGAGCGTTATGGTCATCCAAGAAGACCAGGGATTTATTCGTAGTCGCTGCCAACAAAAACTTGTTGCAAGTATTTGGGGGAGAGGGCTCGGACAGCCGTTTGTGGGCACCGCTAGACGGGCTCCCATGTCCTCTTCGCAGACGCTAGCAGCAACAAAACGTGCTTCGGGACGTTGCGATTTCCACCGCGTATGGGGGTGTGAACATGGGAGCTTGGGGACTTGAGGGGGCCATACGGCATCTCAGTTCCGAGGCTCAGAGTGAAACTCGTCGGTCATCCTTTACCCTATTTTACCGCCCTTTCTGTGATCCGTCATTTGCAAGCTGCAGACTCGAAGGAGGGCGCGGGCTGCGGCGTTGACGTGATTTACTAATGTTGGCGGCTGATTGAGGGTTAGCCGCGGAAGCCCGTCCGCTTCGTAATACGTCGTACTATCGAAACCTACTATGCGAGCCGCATTAGTTTCCTCAAGTCTCGCAGCTTCGACAGCCTGCTTTTTCAGCCTCCAAGGCGTGAAAGGCCTAGATCTTACGGATAGACGGACATCAAGTCTGGGAGACTAGGAAGTCTAGAACCGCCACTCCCGCCGCCGTGGTTCAGCGAAGGAACAGACAATATCGATCGTCGAGAAGGTAAGACAAGAAAGGACGCGTTCTTTTCTTGACCGGTCGAGCGAGCTGCGGCTTCCCGTGCTTTCCGTCCCTTCCCCGTGTCCGTCCTTGCCGTTAACGGAGAACGAGCTGAGACCTGCAGGAGACGGTTGTATATCGCGCCGTCCGCGGAAGAACCCGTTCGGAAGAGGGGGGCACCAACGGGGGCTGCGGCCACGGGGGTTGGCAGGCACCGCGGGATGAAAATTGAGACGGACTCATTCATTGAAACGAGATCGACCTGTCAAATTTCCTTTGACAGTTAACCCCGACATGAAGCCCCCGTCATCCGGTGTCAGGGGTTTGCATCCTTTAGTGTCTTTGGTGCGTCTAGCTCGCTGCAGTTTACATGGCATGCATGGGTAGGATGCAGAATGCTAGAAGCTAGCAGACCGCGGAGAGAATTTGGACTATTCAGACTTGGCATCTGATAGGCATATAGGACATGGGCACATCCGACAGGCAGCCCAACCCGTTACCCGATAGCGATAACGCGGGTGATGATAGACCTGATAGACACAGAGGCGAGAGTCGAGAGTCGAGAGGGGTGACGAACACATGCCAGGACTAGGGCTCAACGACGGCCTACAGGTGCCAAGGGTGGAGGGCAGCATTACAGGTTCGTTGGTGAAACAGATTGCGTCGTACGGGTACTGAGTGGTAGTGGTCGGGATGGGATCTTCGAGTCGTTCGTCTTGTCATTTCTTTTGACGTGCAAAGTCTAATTTGTCTGGACCTCTGGGATTTTGCGGCGGTAACGACGGGTACCCAACCCACTCGTTCTTCAACACTATTGATGTAAAGAGAATCAGATTTCTGATTTATCTTTGAACAAGGATAGGTGGAAAACACAATCTCTCTGCCCGGGTCCGGGGTTGCTGCTGATCACATTCTAACTTTCAGGGACTCCTTTCTTTTTTCTTTCTTTTTCCTTTCGGCGTCACACTCGGACACCTCTTGCCGCGGATTGTGGGAGAGTTTTTGGAAAGACGGCGCCGTGGAAGCGGTATGAAGTATGCGTATGTCACAAAACAATCCTTACCGATGCCACTACCACGCTCAGCTACTCCGTATACTACTGTCTTATTGTGGACTCTACACAATTTGACAGGTCTGACAGATGACATATAGCTGCGGAGCACCGCAACGGCGCAACGGGCCAGAACTTGGCAACAGGATAAACGGCCTTCACTCCGATCGAGAGGAACAGCAGTACCCGCTGCCTGTCAATGTCATAGCTGCGCCGGCCCGGCCGGCTAGCTCCGAAAGAGGAATGGGAAGAACTGTGGAGATTGGGACGAGCAAAGAAGAGAGAGAGCGAGCACGGAGGACCAGGCCTGGAAACGGTCGACCTTTGATTGTATCCGCTGCCCGTCCAGAAGCAGAAATAAAGGCCCTTTCACACCTTGGACGGAGGCGAAACGCGGAAACCTTTCTGGATTCAATCTGGTCTCGCGAGGCTACTAAACTAACCGAACGCCGGTTCGGGGATCGCCTCAACTACCGAACTTTGCCGAGGGCATTCTGGGAAACGCAGGGAGAGCTTTACTTTGACTACATGCACCTCGAGTCCGCGACAGCCGTCTCATCTTCAAGAAGACTGTTCTTATTCGTACGGAAAAAGAAACTACACCAGAGAGGAGAGGGAGCCGGGCTACGGTATTGCGGGCGGGAGGATTTCCAATTGGGTCTCGAAGGTGCAATATGTTCCCACTCGTCAAACTCCTCTCTCCCCTTATTCCCAGCCAGCGGGCCTGCAGGCTGCGAAGCTGCTGAAGAAACCTGAACCGCAGGAGTTCCGCAAAATGCTGAAGAAACTCCTCTCTAACCCCTGCCCCTTCAACAGAGGAGGAGGGAGGTAAACCCACCAGAAACTGGCAGGGCCCCTTGGCATGCCATGAGGCCGGTGGGCTCTTGCCAATGCGTTCCCTCGACGCCCTCGAAGCAAGTCGTCACTTGTCAATGTCACGGTCTAGTGAAAAGGCACGTGGCCCGCGTTCTATGTGGTAGAGTTGCAATGAGTTTGCTGATTCATGTTTTTTCTCCGGTCCCCGGCAGGCAGGATTACGATCTCGACCGGGCCACGCGTGCGTTGGTAAAAGCCGGGAATTATCTTTGCCTCTATTCATTGGGGGCCGTCCCGATTCAGACTCTTCATAATCAAAGGTTAGTCCGTACTGCTGCCTTTTCCCTGGCTATTACGCGAGCTTTTACGCGAAACGTCACTGGGTTACCATTTTGGCCCCCTCCCCTGGACCCTGCTTCATATGACAAAACCTAGGTGGGCAGCTTTTTTTTTCTCTCGCCAAAAAGCACGCAAGTGGTCGACATCTGCCGCGTTGCATTTGGAATGCCACTATGGCTAGCCAGGGGTAAGTGAGGCTTTGCTGCGCTGATCTTCGTCCGGGGGGACCCTTGTCACATATTGCCTACTACGGATATGGGCATACGCACTACGCATGCTAACGTAGGCGGCCAAGTTCCGGTAGGTTGAAGCGGATTTGACGAAGCACTGAGCACATGCAGGTTCGGTTTAAACGCGTGAGGATTGGGTCGAGTGAGGCTATTCTCGAAAGATTCAAGCATGTTTTCCCATTGGACCTGGTCTGGAACTGTGTGTTTGCGACTCTTGTTTTTTTTGCTTATTTACTTGTCTCGATTTGACTTAGTCTCACGAGGCAACCCTCTTTGTTAACGATCTACATCGTCTTCTGTCCAAGGCACGCACTCGGTCTCGCATGAGAACTATCTAAGCCGCAATTTTCTCTTGGCCAACCTTAACAGCGAGCTCGACACCCTCGATGACGAGGTCCGGGCGGGACAGGAAGGGGGAGTGAGAGGTGTTTGCGTAGAAGGTGGTGTAGCCGGTAGGGAATTGGGCAGCCATGGCCTCCTGGGTAGCCAGAGGAATAGCCTGGTCCTGCTCCGTGTGGAAGTACATGACCTCGATGCCATTGTTCCACGGCTCATAGGTCGCGGGGTCGGAGAAGACGCGGGCGGACTGCCAGCTCAACTCCGCAATGGCCTTGGCCTTGAGGACCGGGTTGACATCGGCGTAGAAGATGGTCTCTGGGGTATCAGCGTAGACCTTGTCACCCTGCAAGTTCAGTGTCAGCGGGAATTATCTCGATCAAGAGTCTCTTGGGACGTGTTTCTAGATATGTCGCATGCCAAGCAAGGGTATAAAACAGTGACATGTGCGATGGGGAGGGGGACTACTGGCACTGGGTTCCAGTGTCAAAGTGTCAAAGAAGCTTACCTCAACTCTCATCCAGGGGAGGTATTCTCCGCTGAGCATATCCAAAAGGCTAGTAGCGTTGGGGGCAGCAAAGGCGGCGAGGTAGACGAGCATGATGACGCCGCCCTTTTCGTTGTTGGCGGCGCGCTGCTTGTATCCAAGCCCCTCGATGGCGTTGCCGCCAACCATGCCGCCGTACGAGTGAACAACGACGACGACCTCCTTGCCGGCGTCGGCGAGGGTCTCAATGGTGGACCGCAAGACGGCGGCGTCCTCCTCGAGACCGACGGTTGCGGGCTCCGCGCCGACGGAGGGGAGGGTGATGGCCTCGGACTCGTAGCCCTTGAGCGTCAGACCGGCGCGGACGAGGTCGAAGGACTGCGGACCATGCCAGGCGCCCGGGGTGAAGACCACGGTGGGCAGAGTGGCGGCGGTGACCACGAGGGCCGAGGAAAGGAGGCTGGCGATCTTGGGGAGCATGTTGATGGATTTTGGGAGGAGTGGTGGTAGGGGGGCGTGTGGTGTAAGTTGCGTCAAGGGGGGGAGAGAGGACACAGACAACTGCCGATCAACGTGTACCAAGGTTCAAGAGTGTTTTGGTACGGATAAGGGTAACCGTTGACGTGCAGGATCTTTGGTAAAATGAACGACGGGTAAGGAGTTGTGGGATGCCGGAGGCGTATTAGCGAACGATGCAATAGGATCGATCGAGTAAGAGGGAAATGCTGCACGAGAGAGTGATTGTGATGCCAACGCGCGAGGAACCGAGGGGATCGTGGGAAAGCCGAGGGGGAAGAAGAGATGAACATGCCATTTTATCCTCGTTCAATATCCGTACGGATACCTCTCTGACTCTCTATCTTGTAACTCTGCTGACAGCTCCCGGTGCTCCCACGAACCTCGTCTTTGCCTCAATCTCATAGAATTCGTTATGCCCATGTCGATATCAGAGAAAAGAATTAGTGTCGCAACTGTCGCCCCCCTCAACGGTGTCCCCCTTTTCCGAAAGAGGTCGTCAAGACCGGAGGATAGCGACTGTATTGAGGTGGTGTTGATGGGGCGAGCTGGGGTTACATCAGCAATGGGGCACATTTGTCTGAACTCCCGTGATGAGCCTGGCTGCGATCAGACGTCGCGCTCGGAGCACAGGGTCGTGACGGGGACCACTTCTACGTAGTACTGGGTAGGGGACAAGGGCACAAGAGGTAGCAGGGCCTCGAGGTGGACGTTATATCGATGCGGATTTTGGCTCCCCAGTACGACGTTGGCCCCCTTCGACAGGCGTCGAGGGGGACCCTCCCCTCCCCATTGAAGCCTCCAGTCTTGACAAGCCGGCATGTTGTCGCCCCTCATATGCCGAGTCAGTCGAATCTCACCACGTTTTTCTGCACCGGGCAGGGTGTCAATGGCAGAGCGTATAAGGACTATAGGCTTGCGCATCCCGGATATCCAGGAAAGAAAAGGCTCCATTTTGTTCTTGTCCTAGCCCTTCTTTTTCTCTCATTTTCCTTTTGATATCCCCGTACCCGAAAAATTTCGGGAAGCAGCAGAGAGATACCGAAAAACTGGCGTGTTTCTTGCATTGCATTCTTCTTCGTTGGTTGTTGTGTCCACGATACTGACTCAAAATCTATTGGATTCTGCGCGGAGGAGTACTGGTCTCGGAGATTTCACGTCCCCATCTTTTCCCTTCTTCAGCCTCCATGGCCGACACATCGGCTCTGACAGACCCTCTGGCGGATAGAGGGCCTGAGCTGAGTGGCACCACGACAGCATTGCTCGTTCTCGCAACCGTTTTTGTCGGTCTCCGGTTCTGGGCGCGGTGGACTGTTGGCTTTCACTATGGCCTCGATGACTGGTTCATGGTGGTTGGCCTGATTGTCACCTTTATGGCGGGAGCCCTCAACTATGCCAGTAAGCATAAGACAGGACGATGGTTGAAGTGAGGGCATCATGAAAAACTGACCACGAGTATAGTGATTGCACAGGGCCTCGGCCGCCACGCCGCAACATTATCACAAGACACGCTGATAAAGTTCCTCAAGCTGCTACTAGCATTTGAGTGTGTATACGTGACGGCGGTCATGTTCATCAAGATCTCGCTGCTGCTCATGTACCGCCGCATCTTCCCTGGCCGCGGCTTCAAGATCGCGGCCCTGATCCTCGGCCTCCTTACCATCGGCTGGTGGCTCGCCATCGTCTTTGTGTGTGTCTTCCAGTGCACGCCCGTTGCCAAGGCCTACATGCCCTGGATCGAAGGCACCTGCATCGACCTTAAGGCGTCCTTCATTGGCAACGCCATTCCCAATATCTTGACCGACGTGGCCATCCTGTGTTTGCCCATCGGCCAGGTGTGGAAGCTACAGGTGACGCTGGCTCAGCGGTTGTCGTTGTGCTTCATGTTTCTGCTGGGAGGATTGTAAGTGATACCAAGCCCTAAGGCAATTGTATAAGTGCTGACAACGATATAGCGTTCTCTTTGCCAGTATCTACCGTTTCACAACAATCATGCAGTTTGAGCTCACTGACACGACATGTAAGGTTCGCCCAGCCAGCTGCCTCTCCTCATACGCTGACAGTATATCTAGGGACGCTCGCCACTGCATGTACATGGTGCGTCGTCGAATGTGCCTGCGGTGTTATCAGCGCTTGCCTGCCCACATTACGCCCCCTCATGGTCAAAGTCTCGTCGCAGTTCGGCAGCATCGCGACAAAATACAACCTCTCTGGGGGCCAGAGCGGCGGTCGCTCAAAGGCCGGAAGCCGGGGACCCACGGAACTCATGACGATTGGGGGAACGGGAGGGAAGTCGGCCGACAGAGGGTTCAAGCGCCTAGGAACCGAGGACGGAAAGTACGGCATCACGACGAACATCTCAACTCGATCCGCAGGAGCAGGAGGAGCGACGACAAAACCCTCGGAGGGTTCTGACTCGGGCTCGTGCGACGACTTGTCCCTGAAGGGCGGAATACGGATCAAGGTGGACCAGGAGGTCCGTTGGGGCGAGGAGAGCCGGTCTCGCCAGGACTCGACGGCGTCGACAAAGTACGAGTCTTCATCACGGAGCGGATCCTCGCATCTGGGCTCAAACCGAGTCTGAAAATGGGTCTTGACGACTGCATAATGAGAAGCGTTCACTTTGTCATATCATAACTGAACATAATAGAAACCTAATACAGAAGAGCGATTGTCAGCTTCAACAGATAACCGCCCGCCAAAATCAGACTCCCTTGGACTTGACTCTGTACCGGAAATCTAGGCTCTCGAAATATCTTGACGTCGCAGCGTCCTGGACCAATCCAGCTAGGCGTCGACCTCTCGCGTTCCATACTCGAACATGGCATTCGATTCCACCGCGCTCTCGTCAACGAGCTTATGCGCCGACTCTACGCCGGCGACAGGCAGCTTGAACTCGAACTTCTTTCCGGACGTCGGACCGCTACCGTTGATCTGATAAGGAAACGGCAGGAACTCGGGCAGGAGACCGAGTTGGCGCAGCGCAGTGGCCTGGTCCCAGGCGATGTGCTCGTGGTGGAGATGATCGCCCCGTACGTTTACGACACTCGTGAAGGGAATGGAAAGATGCTTTCCAGTTGGCGGAACACCAGGGAGCCTGAGTTCGTGGTCAGAAGTACGATCTTCGCGTGTCTCGTGCTGGGAGGCACTTACAGCCAGTCAATGACTCTGTTGTGGGTGCACTTGAAGACGAACTCATCGATAACTCGGTCGATACCAACCGTACGGCTGACCAGCTCGAGCTCAGTGTCGTCGGGGTTGTTGAAGATGAAATGGTCTCTGTAGAAGCTGGTCAGGTATTGGCGGCCTACGCCGCCAGTGAGCGTCGGGACGTGGTTGACCTGCGCCGGGGTTAGCCAAACTTGCCCTGAAGGGCTACCTCCCAACCACCCTCACATATGGCTGATCGACCATGGTGGCCATGGTCTTTTCGACATTGCGCTCGCCAAACTCGAAGAGGGTGTGTTCTTCCCAGACGGCCTCGAGATCAAAGTACGGCCCGCCGAGGAGGGGTTTCAGGAACGTCAGTGTGCGAGTGTGCGCGAGCCCTGCGGCATTGGCGTTGAAGTTGGGATGGCTAGGGACGACGAAGAAGTCGCTTGCTCCGGGGTAGGCGTGTGTCTTTGCCGCAGGAGTTGGCTTGGGACCGTCTGTCTGGGTTTTGGGGAGATGCGAAAGGGTCGGAATTGAGAGTGCTTGGCCAAAGTTGTAGAACACGGCCGCCTTGATCTCGGAATGACTCTCCAAGGCGTCAACAAGTTGTGGAGAGGGGGCGTTGATGAGAGCTAGTGAGAATGGTTAGTTGGAGGTTTCCAATAGGCAATGGTGTACCTACAAATGACGCCAAACTTGTCCTTGCCGCTACAACTGTCGAGCTCTCTGAGACTTTGGATGGCCGAGGTAATCTGACCAGCAACGTCCGCGGCTCCGGGTGCAACAATTATCTGCGCAACGGCGTATCCTTCCTCTGCCCATTTCTGTGAGGGGGGAGGGTCCAGGATCTTGTCATGTTTGGAAAGGTTGATGCCCTCTTCGACCACGATGATGAGCCCAGGGCCGTGGCCACGGCGGGATAGTGGTGGTTGAATCGTCACGGCGCTCATCTTTCCCTAGTTTCGTCGTCTCACTTTGAGGTAGAAACTCTGCTCAACGAGTTGGGGATCCTTTTTGTAATGTGCGACTTCGCGGTTGGCACCAATGGAACGACATCGACTTTGATGACCAGTTGAACAGGTTTGAATGGCAAGGTGAGATCAGTTGCGCCTCCACTTGGTGCAACCCCCGCTCGAGATATCGGCCGATTCCTCCCAACTCCATTCCCAGATAAGGCAGTCAGCCGGGTTGACAAGCCCTCTGTAACAACCTCGGCCAATCGCGACTGTTCCTCGAGAGTTGCGTCTTCCAATGCCATGTTGCAATTGCGGCGGTTTAGGAAAGAGTCCGTCGACAGCCCTTGGCGGTAAGTAATCATGTTTGTCTAACCTGAGAGGGGAATCGTAATTAGGGATACCTGGTTGTCCGAGTACGCCGTTATCTGGGACAAGAGAAGAGACCAATCAAGTTTAGAAATGAAGTATCCAAAATACAAAGTCCTCATTGAGTATGTAACTTCAACTCACAGAGAGGTCTTTTTCCCGAGTTGCAGAGCGATATAGAGGATGTTGGAGGCAAGGTGTCTTTTCATTTTGTTTATACCCAACTGGCTAGGCGCACCACACATACTTGACTCAATTGCGCTCAAAACATCAGCAAGCCCACAAAATTGCATTTCTCTTTTCCATTGCAATGAAACCAGGTTTCACTCAATTGTACGGCCCAAAGCTAAGCGCGTGAAGCTCGCTATTGGCACCTCGAAAGATGACAGAAGAAGCAATTGGTGCAGAATGCAAGGGACGAGCCAATGCAGGGGCGCAGGGGCCGCAGATGACCCAAGGGCGGATCAAGGGCATTTCAAGGGATCTGCCGTGTACTGTGTAACGCCGGGCGGTAGTTGTCTAGAAGCGAGAGAAGAAAAGACTGCGATAAACTATCATCACCTTCACATCCGTTCTCAACCTTGAGAAGAACTGAAGCAGTCTTTGTTCAGAGCAACTCTCCAGCCTACGACTGTAAGTGAAGGTGACACTCGATGACCATCCTAGCTGCCCCCGTCCACAATGACGTGCCGCGCCGGAAGCGTGGGGAGTCCCGTTGCCGCGTTCATCACAGATTTGCCCCGTCCCCCCCTGTGGGAACTCTCCGATCTTTGGTCCCTGCAGTGTGCGTGGACTGTGGACTGCCTTACGAGTCCAGACACCCGGGACCGCAAGTGGGAGGCGTACGGCGGCCGATGAATGGTCGACGGTGGTGTCCCATGTCCACACAAGTCGTCCTGCATCTCATCTCAGATTCATCCCTCGGACCACCGCATCCAGAGCCTCAGCTTTGATATGCTCAGACACTCTACCCCAGACAGAACTGCCAGAATACTCCCGTCTAATCGTACAGGCGAGTTGTCGTTCGTTCGCCATGACAGTTGTTGCTGAAGAGCGACATGAAGGAAACTTGGGCCACCCGCTAGCCAGGGCGATGGCTGATGGTATCTCAAAGTCTTGAAACTCTAAAAGTCAAGTCCCGACTATGAAAGCTGGCCTGAAGCTGCCCTCCAATACCCTCCGTGCTGGGTGCCCTTCATTCTAGCCCCTCCCTCCCTGGCCATAGTCGGCCACGCCACGCCACACTATACAGACTACCCAAGATGTCAGACACAGCTCCCTGGCGTCCATTTTGAGACCTGGGTCCCTTGCTCAGCTTCTTACTTGTCTCCGACGTAAGTTCAACTCTTTCCCACCTCCAAACCTCGCCGGCCGTGCTCTGTGTTACTCTTTCTTGCTCATCGTCATTGTCAACTTGCTCTGATGCAGTGATTCACAATCTCTGGTCCAGCAAAGATAACCATCGCTCACAGCTGGTTCTGGTCCCAAGTTGCGCGCATCGATCGCATCGCCCACGTCTTTGGAAAGTCGCCGACTCCGAGCCGCAGCATCCATCGACAGCATTCGCCATGTCGACGGCTCCAGTGAATAGGCAGACCTTTATTGGTCTGCTCATCTTTCTCTTCTTTCTGTGGACGCTCTCGACCTTTACCCAGACAACATCGACCACGCCTACACATGTTGTGAGTCTTTCAGCGATACCCAATTCATCTAGACTCCCTGGACTAACTCTCGATCCCCTAGACACACGACCAGCAGTCTGCCAATCCTGTAGGCCATCCGCAGTACCCGAACAGCAATAGCAATGCCGCGGATAAGCAGAAGCCCGACAAGTCCTCGAAGCCGTCCCACGATATTTCGAAACCAGACAAGTCGCCAGAGTACTCCCTCCCGCCATGGTACGAGGATGACGAAGACAAGGCAGACAAGGCAGCTTCTCAAACGACTGCCAAGGGAGCGAAGCAGACCGCAAGCGCTGCTTCTGACAAGGGCGCGAGCAAGAGCTCGTCTGCCTCTACATCTCTGAAGTCGCATTCGTCTTCTACCACGTCGAAAGAATCGTCCGGCTCCAAGGACCGCAGCCGCCCCCTAGTGCTTTACGCCTACGCCGAGTCCGATGCCGGCCGCGAGAATCTCCAATTCTTCGTCAAGCAGGGCCTGCACGACGCTGCCGACTTCATCTTCATCCTCAACGGCGAGACCAACGTCAGCAGTATCATCCCCGAAAAGGACAACATAAAGGTTGTTGCCCGAGACAACACCTGCTTCGACCTCGGCGCGTACGGCGATGTGCTCCGGAAGGGAGATCTGTACAAGAAGTACAAGCGTTTCATCACCATGAACGCCAGTATCCGCGGTCCTTTCCTGCCTCACTGGGCGCAATCGTGCTGGACTGACATGTACCTGGACCGCCTCACGGACGAAGTCAAGGTAAGATGAAGGCAATGTTCCGCAACTTGAGTGACTGCTGCTAACACGAGCTGCTAGCTGGTCGGCATGACGGCAAACTGCTGGCCCCGATTCCACGTCCAGTCCATGATCTGGGCCACCGACAGCGTAGGCATCGATTTGCTCCTCAACCCCCCGCCTGGCTCCTCCGTCAAGGACGACTTCGGCACCGAGAACGATCCGGTTGGCCTGGGCGGCTGCTACGACGGCTGGAATCACGCCGTGCATGCCGAGATTGGTGCTACGGGCACCTTCTTGAAGCAAGGCTACAAGGTGGACCTGATGATGACGGCGTTCCAAAAGTCCAAGAATTACATTGAGGAGTGCGACACGTCGCAGAATGGTGACGTTCTCTGGAACGGCAAGTACTTTGGTACCAACGTGCACCCGTACGAGACCATCTTCATCAAGGCCAACCGCGACATTGACCCGACTTTGATTGAGCATTTGACAACCTGGCATCAAGCGTCCGGCTTTGACAGCTATGCCGCTTGCAAGTCGAGTTCATAGTGGTCGGGCCATGTTTTGGATGTAGTGTTGGGCGCTCGGCGTTGACCATGTCTTTTACGTTTTGGAAGTACAAAAGATGAATGTGTACAATAGGCGCATGTGTATGGCGAAAGAGTATAGTTGGGAACGAATGCATATTGGATATCACTCTTGATCACTTTTAGACAGCGACCTCGGTCAAAACCGAGCGGCAGTGTGTTTCCAACTAAAAGTGTAGCTCCAAGTTGCCCCAGTCTGGCCAACTTGCCCCCGTGATCTTTGCTAATCGTGGAAACTCGCCATCGCGTCGTCCACCTCGATCAACAGCTGGCTCTGGTCAGCGTACAGAATTTCATGCATATGAGTTTCTCAACGACATTCTCATCCCAGCACTCGCTTTATCAACAATAGCAAGGGACTGTGCCTACTTCTGACCATACCCGAGTGGCTCATTGGTATCTGCGCCGAGGATATAGGTGGCTGGATGTACTACCCCGACCAGAACGTGCAGAATGGCATAACCCCTGCGAATCGGTGTACCATCTGCCGCGACGCGAGAAGCGGCACCAAGGACTATGATATTGATGATGGCTACTTTAGTATACGGTGCGGCACGTATGCTGAGGGAAGTTGCGGGTAGAGGTGTGAGAGGTGAGTTGGCCGCGAGAGCGTAGCGGGTATTATTGCTAAGTTTCCTCAGTCAGCATGAGCTATTCACTGGGAATCACTGAATTGAATCACGTTGAAATATGAGATGAAGCTGAAGATGATTGAGACTCTGGTCTCGCTATGTCACTCTGAGTACGAACCTTGGTTGGACATTCGTTCGGGCGATTTGAGGACACCACCCCCGTAATATTGAATAAGCATACCATAAGGTACCAGCGGCTTCTAATGCGATTTTTCAATTCTACAACTATCCTGCTGTGTCCGACATGACTCAAGAATCATGAATGTTTTCCAAGAAGTCACCGTCATTCCGTATGAGAGATGAGTTCGAGAAAACAACTTGACTACGTGAGTGAGTTCACACTGCAGATGTCATACCCAAAATTGTACCCAAATTGACCCATTGAAACCCCAGGACGCTTCCATATAACCTCACAACTCGTCCTTATTCAAGACCAAACTTCTCTTGCATTGTACACCTTCCTAACTTACCCATAGAACCGTCCTGTGCCATCTTGAGCCTCT